TCAGCTATTTTAATAAACCACAGAACCTTATTAAAACTTGGGAGTAATGCAGTGAGAGTGATGGCAATTAAGTGACAGTAAGCATTATTTACTAGAAGTTTTCTATTGATAACATCTATTATTGTCGTTTAAAATCTCTATCTGACTTTATTTGTATAGATACATTTATCACACCTTTACACACACACACACACACACACACACACACACACACACACACCGAGTGTCTCAGATTTACAAAATTAACTTTATGGTCAGACTTTCCTTAGGAAACAACTACAGATTGTGTTTCATGTTGGCAATGTGACTGAGTAAAGGATATATCACATTACATGCACATAATTTGTGCTAAACTACCATACATAGTATGCTTGAGATACAAAAACATGCTATAACTTCAACAATTCAGGTTTAAGTGCCACTAAGAAGTTGTTTCTTGGTTTTTTTTTGTTTTGTTTTTTTTTTTTGTATTTTAGGGAAGGCTCTACAGGGTATTCAGGGTCTCACTACAGGATTACAGGATGAGACTCATAGTGCTCTGCCTGTTTACAGCCTCCCAAGAGCTGGGATTACAAGCATGCACCACCACTCCCAGTCTTAATTGCTGTCTCAGTGTGCCCCTGGGGCATGGCTAGTGTGGCAGGCCCAGGGATTGAATCCCAGGCCCCTGTGTCTGTTTGCAAGCATTTTAATCCACTGAGTTATTTGGCTGGCCTTAAAGAAGTATGATTTAATCTTCAGGAAAACTTTATCTTTATTTGATTTCTAACATACTCTATAAAAGACTACTAAATCTGTAAAATAATATGAGTTGCATACTTTTTTCAACTATAAATTAGACAAATTACTGAGATTTTTCTTTTATACTGTTTCCCCTCCTGCTTATCTTTGATTTTTCCCACATCTGTCTCTCTCTCTCCATTTTTTCTCTCTTCCTTTCGTATTCTCTTTCATTCCACCCTTTCTCTTACATCATTTATTAAGATTTTAAAATACACCCTTTACAGGGACAAGCAATTGACAATAAGCTTTCATTTTCATATCAAAACAATCAAAGGAATATATACTTATTATTATTTTTGTTTATTTATTTATTTATTTATTTATTTATTTATTTATTGCAGAACCGGGGATTGAATTCAGGCCCTTGCGCTTATCAGGGAAGCGCATATTCCATTGAGCCATCTCCCCAGCCCCTATATATTTATTATTAACCTATTTCTCAGTTTTAGTTTGAAGAAACTACTGTGGAACTGCAAACCAAACTCTACTATGCCCTGGATCAAGATACCCACAAAGAAAGCTCAGCTTCTATGTTTCGACTATTAGGATGAACTTCATCTGTTCTTCTCCTCTCATCCATATGAGTTGACTTTCTATGCCAGTTTTCAGCTGAGTAAATTAACAAGATCATTCCTCTTAGAAGTCTAGCTTAGTCTAAGGTTTTGTCATAGTCTTCTCATAAGCTTGGAAATGCACAGTTCCAACTGCCGAATATATTTTTATCCCATGAGGTAACTGATAGTTTATTCTCTATTTATTAAACTTCCCTTGAGTCTTGACCATAGATAAAGGAGACTGTGTAAAAGCATTTTACAACTAGTATAAATCCAAAACTTTAAAAATACATTATGAGGATGAACCAAAAGTAAAACAAATGTGGCACTGCGAACCTCATTGCATTGGGTCTTTTTCAAACCTTCCCACTCATGTTTTATCCATAAGATTCAGCTATTAATAGGTCACTTTCCATAACGCTTTAACCATCACAATCTTCTTGTAGTGCTTCTCCATGGAGGCAGCGCCACCTGACTGAAGGGAGCCTGGGACATTTGTAGTGTTCCAGTGGTAGTAATAAGCCGGGGATACTGTAAACTTTGAGGAATCATCCACAGCAAAGCCTGTCAAATTCCTTTTACTGAGAAGGATTTCTTCTCCCTTGTACAACCTTAAAATTCTCTATGAGATATTTAGGAATTCATAGGTGCAAATTTCTTGTCACACTATACTTCGTGATGCTGTCCCAATTTCAATTTGTCTCCTCCCCTTCAGTGACAACAGTATTTCTTGGTAGTTGTTTTCATTCTGTGGTCAGCTGTCACTCTGCTCTCTAGTTCCCAACACTTCTTACACAGAATATCATCTATGTCTCATAAATCTAGGTTTTTGGTAGATAAAACAGAGTGTTTTACTGCATTTTGCTATGCATGGATTTTATCTGGCTTCTCAAATTGCAACTGGATTTTAGTAAACTGAGTAGTTTACTGTAGACTGCATTCTGTGTAGATTTTATTTCAGAGAAGTGTTGAGTGCCTAAGGTATGCATGACCACACGGCAATGGAAGCCATTTTTCTCATTGAATTCAGGAGAATATGACTTCAGTCATCATGCACACTGAGGGTTTTGAAGCTACTACATTTAGTGTAATAGTGTGGAAACAAACAACTTGGGTCATGTAGAAATGTTCTATTTCTTTATCTCTCAGAATACATTATTCACATACCATCTTTCACCCATAGTGATACTTGTTTTGAAAAATAATTAAAGTGCAGATATATTTAACATTCACATACTCATTCAATTTTTTTAATAAGTTGTTTTTTTTAATTTTTTTTAACATTTATTAGTGTGGTGTGTGTGTGTGTGTGTGTGTGTGTGTGTGTGTGTGTGTGGCCAGCTCAGCCCACCAGGGGGCGCGGCTGGCTGGCATGTGGTGCTGGGGGATCGAACCGCGGTCCCTATGCTTTTCCAAGCTTGTTCCAAATAGGTGCTTTAGACCACTGAGCCATCTCTCCAGCCCAATACTCATTCAATTTTAAAGGTGCACCTACATATTGACACAGGGCTCTTGCTCACTGGGCCAAACCGCGGACACCAGTGCAGATGCATTCGGGGAGCCGCTGAGGACACGTTGCCGTGCTATGTGGCACTGTGGCAGAGAGTGTCCAAGCTACAGAGTTTGAAATGCAATCTAAAATCTTCTAAAACCTTTGCTTGGGCCAATTGTATCAAATTGAGCAGAGAGTACATATCTATGACTATCGTACCTGACATGGGACCACAAAAAAGTTCCATTTTTAAAGTACAAAGTTACTTTATGCTCTAATACAAACAATTTGAATACAAAGAAACACTTTATGCTATTGTTCTTGCTGTTCCTATTTGGACATATTTATTCCTAATGTGCTAAATTACTTTGCTTCTAGAAATGTGGTGATGTACATTCGGAATAAGAGTTTAAGTTGAAATGTGAGATTGATATTCATTATCTGTTGCCACAGTGCTGATATTTAGGGACTAAGTAGTAATGTAGAAAAATAGATAAGACCTAAAGTAAAAATATTGACAGTTTTATTATGATCCAAATAATACAAATTTGGTTGTCTTCCCAGTTAAAATAAGCAAGTGGTTTTGTATTGAAGGAGACCAGAGAATGTGACACCTTTTATTACCAAAATGAATGCACTTAATAGATCTCCTACAGTAGCACTAACTTCTCAAATTAAGAAAAAGAATCTATGAAGACAAATTACTTCTGCAAGAAGCTCAGGAGAAATCTAACTCTGCTTTATGTCAAATTACTTGATTTGCTTTATATGAATTTTCTGATAGAATATTAATTTATGTTCCCTCGATATATTTACTTGCAAACCTGAATAATGGCCCCATCTTTACTATTTATATTGTTCCTTAGACATGTCTAAAAATAAGTCAAGCTTGTTGAAAACTATGCATTTGAGAATGTTCTATACATGCATTTTAACTGAAATATGAGTTTGTGGTTTCAGACCTCAGTCCTCACTAAACTCAAAATGCAGATGATCCCAAAACTCTGGTATACTATACTTTAAGGTGATCTGACCATTACTTGGGCTGGCAAAGTACATAAATGTTAGGTATAATTCCTCTGGATCAAGAAGAACCAGATTGATGTAGCCAAGAAATCCCTTCATCTTTGTCTACATTTTGCAAAAGAATCTTGTACAAGAGTAGAATACCAACCCATGAATACCAGTGACAAGGAAGATCAGGTTCCCGTTGATCTTGGTACAGTTGATGAACTTGTCAATGTTGTTGGAATCCACAGTCTGAGCGCCCGTCAGGGATCCTGTACCGATGCCATCGCAAGCTGCGGAGACAAGACTTACAGTCAGGGGCTGAAACACAGACTGCAGGCCGGCGAATCAATCGCTGTCTTCTCGTTACAAAATAACAGTGATATTGTTAAATAAAAACAATTATATTTTTTCTGAATATTAAAATACCGAGTCAATTCATCATTTAATACTAGGCATATTTTAAAACACAGTGCCTACTTTACAGTCCAGTGACCAGAGCTCTTTGTAGAATTAAGTTTGTGACAAGTTCCAATACAAACTTGTATCACATGTAGACCTAAAACAGAATCATTATCAAACAATACTTTCCCTTATTAGTTAATATTACATAGGTCATAATCTATTGTAAAATATTATTTGTAATGCTTTTAACATATTGACAGGCCCAGGGAGATAGCTCAGTAGAATTAGCGCTTGCCTGGCAAGTGCAGGGTCCTGAGTTCAGTCCCTGGTACTGCAAAAACAAACAAAACAAAACAAAACAAAATATTGACCACATTGGTAAAATTATTTCCTGGTCTACTAAGTAGAAGCTAATTTCAAAAACAGAGGTCCAATGAAGACTATATATTAAACCTAAAGTACTGGTAGTAGGAACTATTACCAATATCCTGGGCTAGTCATATACTTATGTTTGAATTAAAAACTACCTATGCTTTCTGAAGGTGTACTGTAAAAAAATGTGTGTGTGTGCATGTGTGCATATGTGTGTGTGCATGTGTGTGTGTGTGTGTGTGTGTGTGTGTGTGTGTGTGTGTGTGAAATACAAAGGAGAAAGGAATAAAGATAAGGAAGAGAAGGAGCCAAAGGTATAACTCAGCAGCACAGCACCTGCCTGGCAAGTGTGAAGTCCTGAGTTCAATTCCTGATATTTTTTTAAAAAATGAATAAGGAAAAGAAGTATGAGCATAGGAAAAAGAGGCAGAGATAAAGATGGGGGCAGAGACAGAGAGAGAGGGAGACAGAGAGAGACAGAGAGACACATAAGGTGTAGTTTAAAAGTAAAGGTGACATCTATCCTTACTTCCTGCCAGTTTGAAAAGCTTAACAGCATTTGAGAGATTCTGGCTATACTTTGGCCCTGCTTAATTTAAGTTTCACTCTGGTGAGGAATTTCAGCATTTACAGCTGGAAGGGGTTCTTCCTCCACTGAAAATCTATATCATGAATTATTTGCAACATTTAACACTTATAATAAACTCCCTTGTGATTTCACATACCATCAAAATTTTTAAGATGTGGAGACCGAATGCCATGTATGTCCCTTTGCCTTCCTGGTTATGATTGGTAGATTAACTTATGGACAATAAGAAGCAATGACTATGTGCCATGATAATAAATAAGGACATCAGCCCCTTGTTTTGTGCAAAATTTCTAATATTTGTTGCTGGTAGAACAGAATGCAACTCCCTTTCTGAAGTTGCAATGTTAACTTGAGGTTTTATCCAAACTGTTTCGCTAACATAATTCAAAACCAACAATAGACAGTTATTTGATACTTTAGGGAACTGTCCAAAGTCAGGGAGCAAGTGTTGCATGGGGGGTTAGGGGGGCACTGTGGGAATAGGTTTATAGTGAGGGGTGACTTAACTGGCCCATTACAAAGTAAATGAAAATCATGGTATATATTTCTCCTTTCTCCAAAATACCTGTACATTAAACTACCACTTACCTTTGGGGCAAATGTCAGTACAAGGTTTACATTTTTTAATTCCATTTTCCTCCACTTCCATCTTGGAGCTAGGGCAGGCACGCACACAAGAACTGGAATCTACCACAAAGTTATCTGATTCAAAAAAAAGGAAAGTAGGAAATAATGTTAAGGTTCAGCCATCAAATTTACAACAACCTCTTTTAGGGTTTGAAAATGATTAATAACACTAATAGTATTCACATGTCTTCTCCCAACACAATTTTTGTTTCAATATTTCCACCTGAAATAGTATTTCCAACAATTCACATTCAAATCTGAGAGCAGCATGTGTTAAAAACCACTCGTACTTGCTTGACTACTGCTCCACAGCCTGAATTGCCCCCAAGATAGAGTGGATTTCTTTTATAGACTCAGGAAACTTCATGACATTCAGTTTGTGTTTCTCAATAGTTCCACTTCATTTCATGTCATGATACAAGTTTGATGCCTAAAAATACTTCAAGTTCATGAAGCACAAATGAAGCTTAAGTTAAACTGCCTTGGATCCAGAAAGTGTCCTTCAGATCCAGGAGGAACTGTTTAAAATGTGTTCTGTTTCAGTTGAGTGCCACCGAAGCCTTTTCCTATTTTTGTGTGAAGAAATAATGTGAAATTGAATGATGCACTTTACAAAAGGTATACCAAGCAGACAAGGAACATCTTATTATGTAAACTTCGGTGAAGTGTTTAGGAGAAGAGTGGCCTGACTTAAAAGGTGGCCACAGCGTGAAACACACAAGTTTCAGGCAATTCTTCTGCTGACATTAAAAAGCCCAGGACACTTTACGACAGTAGAAGAATCTATGTTGGAAGTGTGTACCAAAGGGAGTTGGAAAAGCAAGAGACCTTGAAGTTTCCAAAGCTAAGGCCTGCCATCTGTAGCATGTGAATTGTATACAGCTTAACAGACTGCTCTTGCTTTACATACCTCTAGGTTCTGGTAGAGGTGGAGCACCTAACCGTAGGTCAGTGATTGAACTTGGGGCAGAAATGCCCATATGAGCAAGGTCTGATTTGAACCATAATTTTGTAATGACAGAGTCAACAGCAAAGAACTATGAAATTAAAGCACTTTGTTTGAGACTGGATATGGACAAGGAAGGTGAGCTGGGCTGACACCGTCACTCAGGCTCTTCCTGAGGCTCTAAGGGGACTACATGACCATGTAACAGAAAAAGACACAGCCATGCTCAGTAGGTAGGTGCAAACTTGCCGCAGCTTCCTTGCAGCCTCCACCGGGGATGGACTTGAAAGACACAGGCAAGATAAAATCATTACCAAAGGCATGGTTCTACATCATGTAACTGTTCCCTTCGTGTGGAGAAAGAAGTAGCCTTCATTTAGAATGCATATGTACTCATGAGCTGTGGCCTATCTATGAGAAAAAAATACTGGAAAATCGGGGAAGATGGCACGTCTGGAGTAGAGGGATAGGAAAGAAACTGTGGGAGTAAGCACACAGGACGAAGTGCCTGGGATCACAAGTCACGCCCAGAGTACCCACCAGAAGTGACCTTTTCAGAGATAGAATCTATTACCAATCCTGCTTCTTTCCTTTTTCCACAAGTACAGAGTCCTAGGACCTTCCCTGATAACCTAATATCCATTCCAGGGGAAACCCAACCCACTACAAGGTCGTGGAAATATTGCATCATTAAACATTTTCATATTTCTGTAGCAATTTAAGCCAAATGCAGATTTTGAGTAGCTTATGTCCACTAGAATCAGGATGTGAAGATAAAGTTAATTTCAAAAATACATGTTATTTTGGATTTCAAAAGTTGGGATTAGGGAATGTAGATCTGTAATTAGATAATAAATGTCCTAATTTTCTCAAATCAGCTGTAGCTTGGTAAATTAAGCCATTCCACCAAGGTACGGCAGAGATTTAAGAGTTATAGTATATTACATGATAGTGCTTAAATTAGTGCATAGTTTTGTGTGATAGTATATTTATAGTAAAATTTTATTTATTTATTTATTTATTTATTTATTTATTTATATTATACCATACATTAGCCCAGTAAAGAAATTTGTGGTGGCTGGGAGATGGCTCAGTAGAATAAGCGCTTCCCTGGCAAGTGCAAGGGCCTGAGTTCAATCTCCGATTAGGAAAAAAAAAGAAAAGAAAGAAAGAAATTTGTGGATTCTCATATCTGTTTTTTTTTTTTTTTTACAGATTTTAAGATTTCATTTGAATAAATATGTGAAAATGTGATTGTACCATATTATATTTTATTTATTTTCCAACAAATAAAGCACTGAAGAAGGTCCTGTTGGCCACTCCAACCAAAGAGATTGATTCAAGCAAAGACCAACGTATGCATTACATTGAATACTTGAGCTATGCTCCTCACTTTGAATCCCCAGGGTGAGTTATAAGTTTGTGAAAGATCTTTTAATGCGAGCCAGGGAGATGGCTCAGTAGAATAAGCACTTCCCTGGCAAGCGTAAGGGCCTGAGTTCAATCCCCAGTTCTGCCAAAACACCCCAAAAAGATCATTTATGTATTCTTTGTATTTGTTGTTTTTGTTTTAGATTGAATTTTATATTATAATTATAAATAATTGGGAATAAATTTAGGAAAAATTCATTTTCATTAAAAGTAGGCTCTTTATTTGATTGCTTGCAGCCACTTATTTGACTTATTTTTTCTAAGAAATAGCACAATCTGCAGAGAACCTGAGGTACAGTAAAAATAGTAAGAGTTTAAACACTGACAATTCTTTCACCTCACATATGCTGTTTCTTAGCTATGAACTTTGAACCAATCATTTAAATATCTTTGGAATTTAATTTCTTTTTAATTAATTAATTAATTATGTGGTGCAGGGTCTTGCTATGTACTGCTGACTCACAGTGATCCTCCTATTGCAGCTTCCCCAGCTGAAATTACAGGTTGTGCCACCATCTCTCATTCTGGTGGACAGCTCAGTGTGCCCAGCGTTCTAGGGCTGGCATGGCATGCAGTGCCAGGATCAAACTCGGATCCTTCCACTTGCCTGGAGGTGCTTACACTGCCATGCTCTCTTCCCAGATCTTGAACTTAATTTCCTTGTTTATGAAATGGGAGTAATATTACCCACACTCACATAATTTATAATACTCTTCAGACTTCACATTTAAATTAATGTACATCAAATTCATGCATCCTCACATCAAGTTCTAGGTACCACGGTGATTCTTGCCCTGTCACTTACGTGGGCATTTCTTGACACAGAATGCTCCGTATGTGTACTTGGCGTTGAAGTTGTGCTCCAGCTGAAAGGTGGTCGGGTTATAGACGAAGGTCTGGGGGCACTGAGTCACACAAGCCCCGCTGTCGTTGAAGTTCATGCAGGCCTGCAAAATAGCAAATATGATTTTTCTTTACAAACCATCTGCGTAACATTGTTAATAAAACATCGCTGTAATGGTTTTTTGAGTGTGTGTGCTTTCAGTGTACCTCAATCATATAAATTCTACTAAATGTGCTAACTCTAAAGTCATTTGTGCTTCAAAATTCTCAGAAATTTTCCAACATCAGTAAATGTAATATCTATGGTTAAGGACATTCAAATTGCTATTCCATAATTTCTAGACCAATGGGTGATTTAACTACTAAAATTGCCTGAACTATTTAAGCTCCAACTGATTTGAAGCATTTATGTTTAGATGCGTAGTCTTAAATTCAACCAAGTCCCTAATACATTAGACTTTTTCTTAAAGCTGGTATTTGAAGAGTTCAGTGCTTTAAATGACATATTAAGTACAAATATTCCTACTAGATAGTGAAAAGATATCGGACTTGTTGTTTAACTGTACTTACTAGAAGTTTCTACTGGGTGACTAGTCAAGTATAAATATACTGTATGTAATATTCAAATGTAAATTAAATGATGACATTTATTACATGGCCTTGTACTGCCACACAGTTTGGTAAAGCTATTAGCTTTCAATAAAATGGCCTGTTTTTGGTTGCATTTATTTAGCTGGTGAACACAATTAATTAATATTTTTAAACTCATTTGGGAAGAATTAAAAAAAAAACTATTTTACCACTTGAGAGTTAGCAATTTGATATCACAAGAATATATATATATATATATATATATATACATACATATATATACACACATATGTATATATGTAATTAACAATACTGTGGATGAACTTATTCTTTTAATCGAGAAATTAAGCCTTACAGGAATAGTGTAGGGCTTCAATACCAAGCCACTCTGAACTCAAGCATTGTTTTCTATTTCATCATAAATCATCATATTGTTATTAATAAGCATTAATTTATACTGTTTCCTCACAACACTTGCTTCATCAATTGTTGTTTTAGCAAGCACTTTATCACAAATACGACAATTCCCTGATGATGGTCGACTAGCATAATCAGAGTGAGACTCACTGGTGATACATTATTCACTAAGATGGCATTTTCTATGAAAAATCTATTAGAAACCAATCTAGAAAATTCAGGAAGTTTTAATTTATAGTGATGAAACATCACGTGCTCTTGTAATTGCTTTGCTAATGCACTTTATATGTTGCTGTACACAGACTGCTTGGGAACAAAGGAACACAAGCCAGAGAAAGAGGGCAAATCTGCCTTTGAGACAGCATCTGAGCACAACATACCTTGCATATGAAGGCCTCACTCTTCGATTTATGAACTTTCTGTACTAAATTTCAAAGGGGAGTCACCAGACCATTCCACAGAAATGAGAATTCCGGAGTTCTCTTGCCCTCTGCTCACCATCTTGTAACAATGAAGCATGCAGCACAAAACTTCTAAGTGAGAAGTGCTGCTATCCTTGTGTATTGTGCTATCACTTTGAAATCCTGAATGCAACACTTGCAGAGTTCAGTATCTTCAAAATCTAACTTCCGGCCTCTCTTGTGTATGGGGCTAGACAAGGAAAAGCTTCATAATTCATTACCCACTGAGTCTCTTCCTCAGATCTTTAACTTCTTAATGTACTTTTCTTCTTCCTAACCTCCTTCCACAATACTATTTTCATTTAACTATATAATGAAATTATAATAAGAAAGCTAAGTTTTATGATACTAAAACTTATAACATGAATTTTAACTTTAATTTTGCTTATTAAAATTGGAATTTTTAAGGTCCAATTATACTATATATGTTATTTAATAGATATTTGTGAAGAGTAAAAAAATTTGTGTTTATTTTAACAATACAACAATTTTTTAGTTTTACTCTTTTAAGCTTAAATATGAAACTAGAGTTCTCGTTTATGAGAGTTAACAACAGCGCACAGAATTGCTCATATGGGGCTGGGGAGATAGCTCAGTGGAATAGGTGCTTGCCTGGCAAATGCAAGGTCCTGTGTTCAATCCCTGGTACCACCAGAAAAAAAGAATTGCTTATATGGATGTCAAAGGATACATTAGGGAAATGATTCAAAATTTAATTAAAGAGTGTCTTCAATAATCAATAAATGTTAATTTGAAGGAAATACAAATGCCCCCTTCTAAAGCAAAAAATCAATAGACTAGCATTTAAATTATTTTAAGTGTACATTTATAAATTTTAATTTTTAAAACACTCTTACCCCATGAAACAATATAAATAAGAAAAGTTAAATTCTAAATCTGTCAAATCATATACTTTGTACTCAAGAAATAAAATGCAGTAACTTTTTTATAGAACTCAATGGTATAACAATATACAGAGGTAGTCTCTGCAGTTGGGGAAAGGACACAATTATAGTAATTTTACAGTCTCAAAATCTTTTCCATATTTGCAATTAGTCTCATTTTTACACCTATTATATAAAAAAGCACAATTCATTGAAGAACAGAAAAATTGTAGCTAAGCAATAACCAACTCAATGACATTTAGGAAGGTAGAAGGTGGCACTTGACAAGGGACTAAACCAGATCACCTTCTAGCAGGACAGAAAGATTGGAGACCCCTGAGACAAAGGGTGGGAAGGGGAGCAGCCCAGTAAGGGGGAGAAATCCTGACATACAAAGCAGTCTGTGTCCTTGGGTCCAGAGCAGCCTCCCGCGCACTCCCGATGACAACAGTCGCTGACGTAGGGGCCGTAGCATCTCCCATCACACTGCTCTGCGCATACTGTCCTTGTCACTGCAGAGGACACAGAGGGATTTTCAATTAAGGTCAGCCACAACAGGAACTCCTGTGGAGCAGCCCACAAAAGCAGTGATTTACTCAACTCACGATGGACTCAAATCAGCACATATTTATTTTACAAATGGCATTTCTTTTTCTTTCTTTTTTTTTTTTTTTTTTTTTCAGAACTGGGGATTGAACTCAGGCCCTTGCACTTGCCAGGGAAGTGCTTATTCTACTGAGCCATCTCCCTGACCCACAAATGGCGTTTCTATGTCGATCAAAGTTACTGTCCAAAAAGCTTTAGAATTCACACATATATTTATCTTTAGGTTCTCTTTTGTTTCACCAAATAAATGTTTTTTCCTTTTTTTTTAAATTTTATTTTTTGAAGAATGCCCCATATGGTGTCCTTGTGTGATTGTCCAAAAACAGAGTAAGGATAAACATTCACCAAATAAGCTGTATACTGTGGTAACCTATGTCTATGTTGCCACTTTCAAAATTGCATAGATAATCAATGTACATGAGAACTATCCACTGATTGTCAATTCAAGTTATAAAACCATCCCCCAAAAGCACCATTTCGGACTCTTAGCTCTGTAGATGGTTGTATAATAGAAATAAATATTAAGTCTGTAGCTCTGAACAGAGGGTAAGTGACCCAGTGGGTCACAGATTTGAGTCTTTAACCAAAGTAAATGTGTTTTTGTTGTTGTTGTTGTTTTTGTTTTTGTTTGCAGAACCAAGGATCGAATTCAGGCCCTTGTGTTTGCCTGGCAAGCGCTTATTCTACCTTCCCAGCCCCCAAAGTAAATTTTTTTTGAACCAGGGATTGAACTCAGACCCTTGTGCTTGCCAGGGAAGCACTTATTCTTCTGAGCCATCTCTCCTGCCCCTCAAAGTAAATGTTTTAATAAAAATCATACAATAGCACTAGAAAGGATCAAATTTGAGGTAAGAGAATACGGCATTTGTCAGGTTGGGAAAGAGACATGGTCCACTCTGCAGGCATTTCATACAATGCACACAAAGGGTTCTATGAGGGATGGCACCAAACTGGATTTAGGACTTTCAGTGGTCAGTGGAAAAGGGAAACGGATACCTAGTCACAATATTTTACATGAGAAAGACAAAAAAGGAAGGAAGGAAGGAAGGAAGCAAGGAAGGAAGGAAGGAAGGAGAAAAATGGGGGAGAGGGAGAGAGGAGGGAAAGAAAGATTTTTGTAATAAATAAAAGTGTCATTTGTCTTTTCTTATTCAATCCCAGCTAAGAGGATCAAAACACAGACAGCTTAAATAAAACCAATGCATGAAATATTAAAAATCAGGGATGAGGGCTGGCCAGATAGCTCATC